TGGTTCTTTTTCTTCTTCTTCCAATTTTTGTTCGTTTTCTTTCTTTTTTTCTTCCTTTTTTCATATATTCTTTTCCTAGTCGGTTACCAGGTCAGTATAATAGTTTTAATTCTTTTTAGAGGAGGCAAAAAGAAGGATTTTTACTCTCTTTTTTTCTATTTTCGAAGATCTTTTCTCTTGGCGTGTTTTTTCAAGCTAGAAAGCTCTGTAAATTACATCTACAAATATAAAAATGTCCGTACTATTATGAATGGTTCCGCATTTTCTCCGTACTTGTCGTTCGAACGAATCTGATTTTAGCATATACTAGCATATACGCTTTTCGTGACCTAAAAAAGACGCTTTCGATCTGACGGTGGCCATGCATCCAACGGTTGTGAGCCGCTCCAGCGAGGCTTTACATTGTGCGGCGCGCTGCAGTGCGTAGGGTTTCTTGGCGGTCGTAGGCGGCGGCGGCAGAGGCGAGGCGGCCGGATTTTCCTCTCCTTAGCAGCGCGAGCGATCTCAATCGCCTGCCAAGATGGTGAGTGATTCCTCTGGAATTCGTAGCGGATTCTGACATCGTGATGCTCTTTCCAGGTGAAATTCACGGCAGAAGAGCTGCGCCGGATCATGGACAAGAAGCACAACATCCGGAACATGTCTGTGATTGCTCATGTCGATCACGGTGAGTTTCTTCTAGATTTTCCATCCATTCAGTAGCTAAAGCTCGTCGATCTGAAATTTTCGCCAGGAAAATCCACCCTGACGGATTCCCTGGTTGCGGCCGCTGGGATTATCGCCCAGGAGGTGGCTGGAGACGTCCGGATGACCGACACACGCCAGGATGAGGCCGAGCGTGGAATCACTATCAAGTCGACTGGAATTTCCCTCTACTACGAGATGACCGAGGAGTCCTTGAAAGCTTTCAAGGGGGAGCGAGATGGTTCTGAGTACCTGATCAATTTGATCGACTCTCCAGGGCACGTCGACTTTTCATCCGAGGTCACGGCTGCTTTGCGAATCACCGACGGTGCTCTGGTGGTGGTGGACTGTGTGGAGGGTGTCTGCGTCCAGACCGAGACTGTTCTTCGGCAGGCACTGGGAGAGAGGATCAGGCCGGTTTTGACAGTGAACAAGATGGACAGGTGTTTCCTCGAGCTCCAAGTCGATGGCGAGGAAGCTTACCAGACTTTTCAGCGCGTTATCGAGAACGCCAACGTTATCATGGCTACTTACGAGGACGCGCTCCTCGGCGACGTCCAGGTCTACCCAGAGAAGGGGACGGTGGCGTTTTCGGCTGGTCTCCACGGCTGGGCCTTCACCCTGACCAACTTCGCCAAGATGTACGCGTCCAAGTTCAACGTGGACGAGAAGAAGATGATGGAGAGGCTTTGGGGAGAGAACTTCTTTGATCCGGCGACGAAGAAGTGGACGTCGAAGAACACTGGCTCCCCCACCTGCGTCCGTGGCTTCGTGCAGTTCATCTACAACCCCATCAAGCAGATCATCGCCATCTGTATGAACGATCAGAAGGACAAACTGTGGCCCATGCTCCAGAAGCTCAACGTGACGTTGAAGAACGAGGACAAGGAGCTTGTTGGCAAGCCTCTTATGAAGCGTGTCATGCAGACATGGCTGCCCGCTAGCGACGCGCTCCTGGAAATGATGTATCATTTGCCATCTCCAGCTAAGGCCCAGAGGTACCGTGTGGAGAACCTCTACGAGGGACCCCTGGACGACAAGTACGCTGCTGCCATCAGGAACTGCGATCCCGACGGCCCCCTGATGCTCTACGTTTCCAAGATGATTCCGGCTTCGGACAAGGGCAGGTTCTTTGCTTTCGGACGAGTCTTCGCGGGCAAGGTGTCCACGGGCTTGAAGGTTCGCATCATGGGACCGAACTACATTCCCGGGCAGAAGAAGGATCTGTACGTAAAGAGCGTACAGAGGACAGTTATCTGGATGGGCAAGAAGCAGGAATCCGTGGAGGATGTTCCGTGCGGTAACACGGTGGCCATGGTTGGACTCGACCAGTTCATCACCAAGAATGCGACCCTGACCAACGACACAGAGAGCGACGCTCATCCCATCCGGGCCATGAAGTTCTCCGTCTCCCCGGTCGTCCGCGTTGCCGTCCAGTGTAAGGTGGCGTCCGACTTGCCGAAGCTGGTGGAGGGTCTCAAGCGGCTGGCCAAGTCGGACCCCATGGTGGTGTGCACGATGGCCGAGTCTGGCGAGCACATCATCGCCGGAGCTGGCGAGCTCCACCTGGAGATTTGCCTCAAGGATCTCCAGGACGACTTCATGGGTGGCGCCGAGATCAAGGTGTCGGACCCGGTGGTGTCTTTCCGGGAGACGGTGCTGGAGAGGTCCCGGCAGGTGATGAGCAAGTCGCCCAACAAGCACAACCGGCTCTACTTCGAGGCCCGGCCGCTGGAGGACGGCCTGGCGGAGGCGATCGACGACGGCAAGGTCGGGCCACGCGACGACCCCAAAGTTCGCTCCAAGATCCTGGCGGAGGAATTCGGGTGGGACAAGGACCTGGCGAAGAAGATCTGGTGCTTTGGTCCCGAGACCAACGGACCCAACCTGGTGGTGGACATGTGTAAGGGAGTCCAGTACCTGAACGAGATCAAGGACTCGGTGGTGGCGGCGTTCCAGTGGGCTTCCAAGGAGGGCGCGGTCGCGGAGGAGAACATGAGAGGCATCGCGTTCGAGGTTTGCGACGTGGTGCTCCACACGGACGCGATCCACAGGGGCGGCGGGCAGATCATCCCGACGGCCAGGAGGGTGATGTACGCGTCGCAGCTGTGCGGCAAGCCGAGGCTGCTGGAGCCAGTCTACCTGGTGGAGATCCAGGCGCCGGAGCAAGCGCTGGGAGGGATCTATGGAGTGCTCAACCAGAAGCGCGGGCACGTAACGGAGGAGGTCCAGAGGCCCGGGACGCCACTCTACAACGTGAAGGCGTTCTTGCCGGTTATCGAGAGCTTTGGGTTCTCGACGGAGCTGCGAGCGGCCACGTCCGGGCAGGCGTTCCCGCAGTGCGTGTTTGATCACTGGGATATGTTGAGCAGTGATCCCATGGATCCGGGGACGCAGGCCGGGGTGATTGTGGCGCAGATCAGGAAGAGGAAGGGGCTCAAGGACACCATCACGCCGCTCAGCGAGTACGAGGACAAGCTATAAGAAACTATCGGGGAGAGAGAGAGAACACAAGTTTTTATATGCTACTTTTACTTTTCTTTTTTTTGTTTGTTTTTTGTTTTAATTTATTTTTCTGAAAACAATTCAGAATAGTTAAATATGAGAATATTATGCTGTATTAAACAGAAGAGAAGAGAAAAGGTTTGAAAAGTCCTAAACCAAAGTCTTAAACCATAGGATTCTAATTTGATTCTCGTGGTTTAGAGGAACCAAAGTTTGGTTAAGGTGTGATTACGGATTGTGAGGGAAGGATTGTTAGGCACTAGGTTAGAATAAAAAGAGTTTAGAAAAAGCCTTACAATCCCTTTCTCAGTTGGGTTAGGGCGTAAGGGATAAATCAATGTAATTATTTGCTAATTGCTTATAATTCACATTAGAGTTTCTTTTTTACCTGAATTCTTTCTAATGTTTGGACACCGTACATTCCTGTGCATCCACCCTCTCTTGTGCATATAGTTCAAGGCCTCGATCACATCTGGCAATGCTGCCACGAGCTCTTGAATTGTAGTCACTGTGGGTTTCACCCTCAACCGAGTATAGAATAGACAATAACCTTGATCCTTAAAGCCTTTGACTTGGTGAGGAGATGAGATCCAACGAGCCTCTCTATGTTAATTCCTTGCAACACAGCCTCGTGTGTTTCTGCGGGCACCAGTGTACTTACTGCACACTGGTGCTCATTCAAAGCCATTTTGTTGTAGATATCTATGACATTTTCCGAAGCCTGTAAATGGAGAAACCACTAAGCCATTACCAGAAACAGGAGATCACTTACCTCAGCAGATCCGTATGCCTTCTTCACTGGCTTGTAACCATTCACCTCTATCACCTTGGATCTGGTGCTGACAGTATACTGGTCTAGCTCCACGTTATGTGCCTCAAGTAGCCCGATGAACACTGGTATGATGCGAGCAAAGTTGAAGATGCATACCAGTGGCTTTGGGAAACTTCTCCTGTCGTCCAGCTCCAGCTTCAGAAGTTCCCAGCACTTTGATTTGCCAAGCTTCCACTTCTGAGCCAGGTCTGCTGTTATCGCCATCAGATGAACTTCGAAGCCGTTTGCAGCATATCCCAGTATGTAATCCACCCCATGATACATCCAAACTGGCTTTGCGGTTATCTCGAGCACCAGCATTTCACCTCTCTTTTCGTCTGCTATAAGCACCAGAGGCCTGTCGTTCAAACGAAGAACGCATTATCCCACATTCTGCTTCCCATACACGTCCTCACAGAAGTGTCCTTGTGGTTAACGAACGAGAAGTCTTTTTGCCAGGTATCCCTTAGCCAGCAGTCCCAGGTTGATCAGCCCTGATGGCAGCCCCTGCTCAAAGCCTCCAAGAAGGTTTTCAACATGCGTTGAAGTCTTGCTTATATAAAAATAAGTCTTGCTTAGGTAAAAATCACCTGGAATTTCGGCCCTTTAAATGACACAACAAATGCAAGATGAGTCTTAGTCATGAATTGAACTTTAGAAGCTTGGCGGCTCATTAACATCCTTAACAACGTATTTAGTTGACTAAACAGAACAGCAACAGCTCCTTTTTCCAGACCCAGCATTGCAAATATTGAAAGCCTGAACTGCAGTTCGGCCAGCTTTCTGATGAGGAAGCCATTATGCCATGCCAGAATACAGTGCCCATTCTGGGCATATGCAGCTAGAATGGGATTCTCCGTTAAGGATTTAGGGTTTCTTTCTCCTGGAAGAGAAAACGGCCCCGAATTTTCCATAGAATCGGAGATGGAATAGCAGCTGCCCTTTTGCCCTCCATCGAATTAGGGTTTAGGGTTTTATGATGGAGAAGCAGAGGGGGTACGGCATGAAGAGGAAGGCGCCCGGCTCCGTTCGCGTAAGTCTTGAAGATGCCAAGGCTGGGATCAACAAGATGAAGGCTCTGAAGTGGGAGGATCTGCTTGTGGTTGGCAAAGTAACTTCCCTGCCTTATCCAGGGATAGGCAATCCACCTCCGAGGCCAGGAGGACCCTTTGACTTTGTCGGCATGGTTGATCTGCAGGAGGTACTCGACTGCCTCACGGATCTTGGTGCTGGGAAGGCGCTTCTCGTGGAGGGTCCAAGAGGCATCGGCAAAAGCTGCATTCTCAGGGCATTGGCGTGGATTCACATCCTGCAAGCAAATGATCATCAGAAGGTGCTGTGCATCTGGGCAATGGAGGCCGCTCTCCGCGTGGGCAGTCTGGTGGATGTTGTCAAAGACGGCCTGCGTTTCGCATACTGCTTTCAGGACAGCGTGCTGGCGGAGATCGAGAGCCTCCGTTCCATGGCAGGGATCGTGGAGTTCATTCGAAGCCGCAAGTTGAAGGGGGACATTTTCTCTTTGATAGTTGACGGAGCCGAATACATGGATGTCCAGGATCTCACCGGGGCTGCGAAGGTGGAAAGGCAGGAACTGAGAAAGAGTGTGGATAGTCTTGCGAACGAGGCTTTTAAGCGTGTGTACGGGGCCCCCATTGTACCGTGGAACAAGATGCACCCTGAGATGTCAATAGTAGTCAGGTTACAGGATGGCTTTGCTAATGTAAGTGTGACTTTACCTTCCAGAATGCTTCAATCTCATATGTGGTTTGATTGTGTAGGAGGAGTATGATGCCTATGTTGGCAAGGTTTCTGTGCTGAAAGCTGTCTGCTTGGCTTTTCCCGGCTATGCGGACCTCATCAACTATTATGGCGGTCAGCATCCCCTGTCGCTGGCTGTTCTGGACTATAGCTTCAGGAAGCGAGCCGCATCGAAGCTGGCAGGCTGGGGTACTTGGTCATCACGGGTTCAGACGCCAGACAATAAGCAGACCCTTGAGCTATTACCGGATGCTGAAGACATTCAAGCAGCGCTGGACATGTTTGTCAGTTCATCAGAGGTTGAAGCCATCCGGGAGTCGATAGCGGTTTTGCTCAGAAAATACAGGGAACACGGGGTGGCCATGGCTTCATTATATAGCCAGGATGAGATGATTGAGCTGGATGCCAGATATGCAGTTGAGGGAGGAGACTACTGCACGCAGTTCATCAAAAGGATATACGTTGAAGAGTTTCGGAGCGCAGACAGGGTCTTTGGTGGTGCGCCAGCGTGGTTGCCTTACTGCAAGTACCTGCTTAAGAATCCTGTTGGAGTGAACTGGGCTGAGATGGGCTGGTTGTGCGAGCACTTGATAGGGGATGCTCTCCTGATGGGAGGGGGTTTGGATCTGGATGGCTTCCACGTGCAGAATGTGAGATCTCGGGGGTTCACTACTGTCCCCAAGTTTGCAGATTGGCACTCCGAAGTAGGCGATGGTGTTTTCTTCATTCCTCTCAAGTACAACTATGGTTCCATCGATGGGCTGCTTGTCATCCGAATCCAGGGGAAGCTGCATCTCTTCGCAATCCAGATCACGGTGAACGCCAGCAGGCATTACCACAGCGCCGAAGAGTTCATGAACCTGTCCGTGGTGGAGGAATGGATCCCCAACATACTGGCAAAGCGTGACGAGTGGGAGCTGCATTTCGTTTTTGTCTGCTGCGAGAGCAAGGCTGCGGTCAAAGTTGCGCCGGAACTCAAGGCGACGAGGAGTGGCAGCGCTTTCGGCACCTTGGCTTACACCATGCATCAGGTTACTTTCCAGTCGCTGCTGGCTAACTCGATCAGCAGCGACTTGAAGACAGTGTTAGAAGAGATAGCGATTAGGCGAACACCAGAAGAGGAAAGAGACTCTGCACCAGCAGGAGCAGCAGGAGCAGCAGCACAAACTACGGCAGCGGGGCCCAAATTGGTGGAGAGGTTGCTTGCTTACTCAGACCGCAAGAAGCTCAACCAGATTGCGCAAGACGAAGGCGTTGCTTTGGATCCTAAACTGAAGAAGCCGGAGTTTGTTCTGCAACTGGCAGCAAAGCTTGCATGCAAGGATGGTGATGGGGACAGTGAGGGAGGCGCAGCGCAGGGCCAGGGCTGCAAGAAGGCCGAGGAGGCGGGAAGCTCCAAGAAGCGATCGAATCCCAAGGATGCCGCTGGAGCTACTGGAGATGCGGCTGCTGCCTCCGCAAAGAAGAAGAAGATCAAGGATGGTAATGGGGACAGTGAGGCGGGCCAGGGCAAGGCCGGGAGCTCCAAGAAGGCCGAGGAGGCGGGAAGCTTGAAGAAGCGATCAAAGCCCAAGGATGCTGCTTTAGATGCCGCTGCTGCCTCCGCAAAGAAGAACAAGAAGTGAAAACAATGATTTCTTTTCTAACCGTTGATCTAATGGGAGCCGTCCGATCCAGCCCTTGTTCATTAGAAATTGTCGGGTACATGGGAGATGGAAAGCAAGTTTGACGATAAGCAAATCGACGAAGAAGTGGGCTTATTTATGGGGATTTGTTTGGACATCTAGTCAGCATCTAGATATATAGGTCAATGGAACACCTTGCTCATGTTCCTATACTGTCTTTTGTATCTCAAGTCTGATGGTTCTTAGGGGAAATTGGCTTCTTATGCTGGTTTATATGTGGCTTTGCAAAGGATGGTCCAATGAGTTGAGCTTGCTACAGCAGAAGTCAATGCTAGTAAATATAGTCAATTCTGTGTCCTTTAAAGGAAACCTTGCTAGAAAAAAAATTTAAAAAATGTATTGTCAATTAGTTTGAGATGAACTTATATTTTCTGATCTTATATATAAAAAAGACAGAACCATTCATTTTGGATTTCTCTTGATGCATCTTCTCCTTTTTCCAATGAGTTAAAAAATGCACAATTTGGTGGAGAATCAAGCCATATGCAAGTATTTTTATTTTGCATTTCCCCTTGTCTTTACAACTTTGATTCTTGCACCAATTTGGAGAATTGTTTGTATAGATGTTTAGATCTGGTTATAAAGATTCCAAAGAATACTTTCTTAATGAGAAAAATGCAAAAATTAAGAGATCTTTCACTTTTTCTCATTCTTTTCTTCATTCCCTCTTTTTGGTTGTGTCCTAGAGCTTTAAGAGTGAGATTTCTTGAATGTTCTTTAAAATTTCTTTTATGAATCTCTTCCTTTGCTCTTTAACTTCCTTTCTTGCAAAAGAATTTTCCAAAAATAGTGAGTTTTATCTTACATACTATATAGCTGTGACTTTGAGGAGTTTTTTCTTTCTTATTTCACCATCATTTTCATCTTTTTTAAGCATGTTGGATAAATCTCTTCTAGAGCTTTTAGCCATGTGCTTACATGCAAAATTTAATCGCAAGATGAGGAATTTGGAGTGGTTTCCCACTCATGTTCATTTATTTTGAGTAAAAAGAGTAGATTCAATTGCTTTTCATGCAATTATAAGCAATTTAGAGTAGATTTTCTTTCTATAGAAGTATAGTTGGCATCAAGGGCTTTCCTACACACTTGTCCTTATTGTTTTTAGTGCTCTTAAGTTTGAGATATTCATATTTTCTGCCTTTGCGAGCTTGTGGATGCTAGTGAGTGACAATTTTTAGGTTTCTTTTCAGATTTTACAGCTATTTATTTTGGCTGTAAGATCTTTATATCGACTTTAAAGATTCACATCTAGTGACTCTAGGATTGTTTCCTAGTTAGTCCTCCCCTTTGTTCTCTAATTTCTAGTCTTGTTTCCTTTGGTTTTGGGATAATTATTAAAAGATTTGCATTGTGGAGACTAATAAAATAAAATATCAATCTCTAATAGATTATAACCAATCACCAACCATATGAATCACCACAGATGAAAAATCTCAATTTCTATAATATGCCTATGGAAAACATCTTATCTCATTTCAATCTCAACTTTCACAATATTAATATTAAAGCATCACTTCAATGTTATCAACACCAAGATAAACTTAAAAAAATGTAAAAGAGAATCACCAATTTAAGACTAATCTATTATCAATACTTAATTAAGAGTGAATTACCATATCTTAGACTTAATGCAATCTAATAGCATAGACTAAACACAACAAGACATGAAAAAATCATGAAAGCCCAAGATCCTCTATAATACCATCTAATAACCAAATCCATCACCTAAGAAAAGTGTTTAATAGTCCTTAATTAAATTTACACACAATCACTCTTCCAATTGCCTTTATAAGACTTAAATATCAAACTCACATCATCAAGTCATATACTTGTCTTAACAAGAAGGTAATACTTTAGGTCTAATATATAGGAATATGAATAAGTATAAACAAGATAACAACTCAAATTCTATTGTACAATTATAAGCCCATGATAAATGCTTGGAAGTTTAGCTCTATCCAAGGGTTAAGTTCTACTCTATGGTTATATTATGATAAATTACCATAAAATATAAGGTGAAAACCACATGATTACAATGTTCCCCACTCTTTATTCTAGGAAGTGACAAGTGTGCAAGTTTTGCATTGCCAAACTCCTTACATGACCTTTGGTGAATTGTGTCAATAACTAGATGATTATGGTTAAGGTCCTTGTTAATGTGATGTATGTCAAGTTATTGTATCTTGGCAGTGCAAAACTTACACACTCATCAACTTGTGTAATGTTGTGATGCAAGAGTAGTGGCAAAAAACATAATAGTTCCATACTAAAACCTATAATAAAATAAAGAGGCAAACAATTTAAAATAAGCCTTTTAGATTCAGCCATTAGCATCTGTTGTTTTGACAAGAATGTTTAAGAGTAGCCCAATGCAAACTCAACCAATCTAAAGTCATCATTTTCCATCGTTAAATGTTGTGATGACAAGAGTAGTGGCAAAAAACATGATACTTCCATGCAAAACTTATAATGAAACAAAGAGGTAAACAATTTAAAATAAACCTTTTGGATTTAGCCACTAGCATTTTTTGTTTTGACAAGAATGTTTGAGAGTAGGCAGCCCAATGCAAACTCAATCTAAAGTCATTATTTTCCACATTATCACAAGAAAACCTTCTTAGAATTCAGTGCAAGTTCAAGCTTGAGCATGAGCAAAAGCCAAGTCCGAATGTGAGCCTGAGCAAAAGCCCAAATACATGCTTGAGCCCAAGGGGTCGTAGGTCTGGGGTCAAAATGTTGTCCAGTTTAGCTGCAAGATCATTTGCCTGTCAAGCTTGCAAAGATCTATGGTAAAGTACATGAATTTGTGAATGATTCTTGTAAAGGACAAATTAGTACACAATCAAAGAAGGTTTAGTGGATATATGTCCTAGAAAGGGAGCTTGCACTACTCTACAAGGCCGTGGTCTCCATTGGTGCTACAAGTGACACAATCAGGTATTTGTGGATGCAACTAGATTTGCTTCGCCTGTGAAAAGGAACAGTATTGTTGGAGTTAACTCCATGCTAGGATCATGTTCATTCTCTGTATATCACTAGAATCCGCTCCAAAAGAACCTTTAGTGTCAAATGTGTCACTGTTGTTGTCATGAGGCTTGTCTCCACACAAACTAGTCTGCAGCTCCTTCACATGTTCCAGAGTGACTACAGGTAAGGTCATGTCATCCTAGGTAGCCTGGAGTGCTAGTGAAAAAGCCAAACTATTGATCTTGTCCACTGGAAATATATTATCACCATTCTCGGGCATCTGCTCCAACATTGTTGGAGAATCTTGTCTACAATGTCCATGATCTGTGAAGAGGTTTTGGAGTGTCTACTGAGCTGAAGGGAAGTCCCATGGTAATAGAGTCTGGTCAAGTGAATGAAAGTAACCATACAGTAGTAAACTTCCTATGGCTCACTTTCCTTGTGCACCACAGGATCTAAATGCCCCACAGCTACTTGTGCAGCCCCACTGATGGAAAACTCACACAAAGAAGTTCTGCATAGGGCTAGTGGGAATCATGCGTATCCCAGTATGTAATCCATCCCGTGATACATCCAAATGGGCTTGGCAGTTATCTCGGGCCGCAGTTCTCCATCTTCATATCTCGTTTCTTCTGCCAGAGGCATGTCGCTCAAAACGAAGAACGCATTATCTGGCCTTCTTCTTCCTGTACACGTTATCACAGAAGGATCCCTGTAGTTACGGAATGAGAAGTCTTGTACTTGCTGCCACAGCCGCATGGCATCCCTCAGCCAGTAGTCCCAAATTGATAAACCCAATCCACCATAGTGGCTGCCATACCCGCCATTGCTCAAACATCCAAGAAGGTTTTCAATATGCGTTGACACCTTCTCACAGCACTCAAGCTGTATGTATGGGAATAGATGTCCAACAATTCGAATTGAAAGAACTGCCTGATCCGCCAACTTTCTCTATTCCCGTATATTCTACTATATTTATGAGATTAGACGAGGTAATTAGTTTTATGCTTGAGCACCACTCCTAACAGCGCAGGACCGCCCGGAAATTCTGAAGACCGTGATCTCAAAAAATCAAACATCCAACCAAGGATCCATTCTCACCTGTGACGGATCACGAGCGAAGCAATTCGCGTCATGAGCTCCGGCGGCCATCGATGGAACCTAGAGAAAACTTGGAGCATCAAGACGAGACTAGAAACTCTACATCTGGCTTTCTTACTTGGTAAGCATCCGTGTATAGAGCTGGCTTCACTGCTGCTAGCTTCATCGAAAGAAACTGTAGAGAAGAGAAATCACGCCAAAGATGGCGCTAACAGTAGCTTCTTACCTCAACTTGCCGCTGGAGAGATTGGACATAGTTGATGATCTCGTCTAGCATCATAGCTTTTCCCGTTACCTGTCACAGAACCACAGTGGAAAAATCACGAGTGTTTGAGAAATCTAGTAGAACCTTGCTGCAACCAGGCACGAGATCCTGCAGCGTTTTCATGCGCTCGCTAATCTTCTCACGACGAACCTGGAAGAAAAAAAGCAGAGACAAGAATCAACACACAGAGTTCTTCTTTGTTTTGTGTTGTGAACTGACCCTTTCGGCGAGACTGTGGCTGTCCGTTGCTTGGCCTCGCCTTGCTCGAACGTGAATGTAATCTTGCGTGTTCCCAGCTCCTGGCTTGGAATTCTCCTTGCCCAGATTGGAATTCGTAGTGTTCTCGGTGCTCTCGCTCAAAGCTTGATCACCGCGATCCTTGGCACCTTTTGGTTTCTTGTGCTGCTTCTCATTCGCTTCTATGGCCTGCGAAAGAAAAAAAATACGAACGAAAAGAGAGATGTGAGAAGAACTCACAGGTAGAGAAAGAAGTCACCTTTCTATCCTTTGGAGGTCTCCTTCTCTTGGCCTTGTCGATCGCGGTGGGAGGCGGCGCCGTGATCACGTCTTGGCCATCGTTGGAGGGATTCACATCGAAATCCGACTGAGGCAAGACCGCTGGAAGCGTGGACGTGGCGAGCTCCGCCTCGGGATCTCCCGCAATCTCGTGCCAGAGATCGCCATTGATGAGGAGCTGCGTGAAGGAGAATGCGCTCTGCCGCGAGGTGCTCGCATCCCCGTCGCCGCAAGATTCGCCCCTGGGAATCTCTCTCGGGGAGGAATGCCTGGGCGCCATAGGCGCTGAGAAATGCAGCGCTCACTCTCCGTGTCTACCTCGATCCC